TAATTAATCGAAAAAATAAAAAAGTACATTTTTTTATAGTTGAGGGACAAAAATATACATAAAAGAGTTTAGAGATCGAAAACAATGTAAAATCTTAAAGTTGATAAACTAAAATTGGCCTTTAACCGACACATAATCCTCATTTAAAAATGTATGAAAAGAACTGAGGAAACCAAGCTATGTAGAAGACAATATACATTCGTTATTTGGTAAAGAGGATGCACATACAAAGTTTGCGAAGAAAAAGGCAATGAGAGAAGCAAGAAGAAGACAAGGAAATGACATGGCTTGAAGAAGTTGAACATTGGTAGAAAAAAGAGATTCAGGCAGCCGTCTGAGAATGAAAAATGATAAGAGGAGGAGGACTCAATTTGGCTTAAAGAGAGCAAGAGAAATGAGATGGTGATAGGAGTGGACTTCAAAAAATCAAATGAACTCAAAAATCAAATGAAGTCAACTGCAGAATATGAACGGGGGAGAGTAAACAGTTGCATCATTGTCCCTACAAAATTAGTTTTCAAACTCTGCAACTTGAATGAATTCTTAATGAGGTGAGTCAGATGTATAGTATGTATATGTTACTTAAATGCAACAATTTTTTTGCCATGTGGATCATGTATCTGATACGGGTAATTTAAATTTTTTTGTGTTTGGTTTGATAAGGTAGGTTTGGTTTGAGGCTAGTGGAAGAGAGAGAAAGAATGAGTTTTTTAACTAATTAATTAAATTGTAATATTTAATAATATTATAATTTGTTTTTTAAGCCAAACAAACTCTCAAGGCGGAGATCCATAATATCTTTTATTCTAGAAGTTTTTTTTCTTTTCTCTTTTTTTAATTGAGATTGAATGGATCATAGATTGTACTGTTTTTTATTTTACCTTGGTGGTCGGCAGATAACAAATATATACAAATAGATTCGCGAGAATAAATATACCAAATTAAATTCCTGAGTTCATAACTGCATGTCTCATGATTAAATTTGTAAATAGTCGAGTCAAGTTCCTTAAAATTTAAACTTGACTTAATGTTATGGTGATGTTATGGTAATTAATTAGGTCAATTTCAAGTTTTATGGGTTTAAATATATTGGGTTTAAACTTAACTTGAGAACTCAAATGGACTCATAAATTTGATTGATTATTTAAATTTAATTAAAATTAAAATTAAATATTTAACACTACAAGAAAATGCACATTTAGTGACTAAATTATTGATCATTAAATCTTTATTTTTCGTCACAAATTATTATTAGTGATAAAATTTAAATCGTTAGTAAAACCCTTGTCACTAATGCTCTTAATGACAAATTAAGCACCTGTCATAAAAAATAATTTTATAGTGATAAAAAAAATTAACATTGTTAACAAGTTATTTATAACAATTTTATTCGTCACAAAAAAACATTCGTCACAAATGCAATTATGATGCAAAATTTAGTTATTAATTATTAAAATTGATATTAAATAAAAACGATATTTATATAATTACAACACAAATATTTTAACATAAATTTTATCACAAAAAATAATATATAAATTTATCACAAAAGTTTAATAAAAAATATTATTATTTCAATACTAATCAATTTTGATTAAAATTAATCAAACCCGATTAAAATTAATCAATCCCAATTAAAATTAATCAGGCCCAAACTAATATGAAGTTTTATTGAGTTTCACAAGTTTTATAGTGCAAAAATTTATTTTCTTAAATATTTTTTGTCGATGTGGGATATATTTATAGTGCAAAATTTTATTCTCTTATGTGTTTTTTATTGATATGGGATGCATTGATTAGAGAAAATTGATAATTTTTAGTGACGAAATATATTTTTTAGTGCTAAATTATTTGGTCATCATTGAATGTGTAAGGTATATGTGACCAATATTAGAATTTTGTCATAATTGTAATGCATTATAATGATGATTTTTATCGACAAAAGCTTATTTTATATTTATAAATATTTTTCAGTAATAAAATATATTTTTTATGATGAATTTTTTTGTTCATAATTAAATATGTATGTATCTGTGACTAATTTTTTAGATCTGTCACAATTATGATAAGTTATAGTGATGATTTCAAAATTTATCACAAATTTCTGTCACTAAAAATCATTTTTCTTGTAGTGTAATATATATAATTATTTTTTAATACAATTGAATAGAATTGAGTTAAGTCAATTTGAGTTAAGATTTTAGATTTTACTATAACTCAACTTAACTATATTTTTTTGGATTAAAATTCAAGTTCGAACTTGAGTTTGATTCTTACTCTAACTTAAGTCAAATCAAATAATTCAACCCATTTATTAACTTTGCCATGACTCTTAATAATAATAATAATAATAATAATAATAATATAAAAGAAAAATAACCCAAATGGTTGTATTTAGTAATTGGATTTTTAATATGTGCTTCTGTAATGTAATTAACGCACTCTTTTGACATTTAATTGTACTCTCTTTGTCTTGGAAAAAGGAGATTAAGGTGGCCTGCAAGTTTCTCAGTGGAGGTGGAACACAAAATGGAAAAGGATGAAAGCAACCAATCGGCAGAAAACGGAGGAGGAAGGCACATTACGTTGAGTGTTTTGTGACCCACAACATGATTACATGTCAACCTATAATTGGTTTGGGACACATCTACTGTCATCGTGACATAGTAGACTTTCTCGTTGGCCCCGTTAATTTCTCTAGGACTTCCAATTTTCTCGTTGACTGCATAACAAACATGGAGAAACATTGATGAAATTAGTATAAACTAAACGAACCTTTATTTTAATAAGAACAATAATAAACAGGATCAAACTTTTTGCACAAAATTTGAGATCACATTTAAAATATAAAATGATAAATTTTATATGAAAAAAGTGTTTTACATGTTATTTATTAATTTTTTTTGAGAATATGTCTAAAAATTTATATTTTGATTTATATTTTTAAATACCAACAATTGAATTGAAATTTCTATTTATATAAATTGTGTTGATAGATTTTCATGTTAATCTAATAGGTTTAACCACTTTATTAACTATAAGAAAATTTAACACTATTAAATATATATTAGTAAATAGATTTAATTACTTTGATTAAAATGTTATAAATGTTAGATTAATTTGAAAATTGATATATATGATTTACATAAATATAGGACAATAATTGATATACTTTTTAATTCAATGCATTTCACAATGTACTAAAAATTATTATTTTCGGATTTGAATTTAGGTCGGGAAAAATTTTACTTGCAAAATTTAATAATTGAATTAATGAGTGTTGATAGATATATTAAACTAAAGGATGTACTAATCATTACCCATAAATATATCTTTTCATCTAACAATTAATTTTTAAAAATATTAATTGAAAATTACATTTTTCCCAATAAAAATTTTTAAAAAACAACTCATTCTACACTATTTTCATTTTGTATTATTTAATACAATAATTAATTCTTTTTAGTTTTTTAAAATGTATAATATTATATAAATCACTTCATTCAATAATATAATTTATGTTATGTAATTCACCCAAATTTTAATTCCAAATTTTCTCCTGTCTATCACTACTCTTTTAATAAAGTAGTCACGAAAAGCTTAAATTTCTCGAAACTAGAAAGTAGGAACTTCCTAAGCAAGTTGCGCCTAGCCTTACCGCCTACTTCTAAGTTCATCCAGTTTCCCCTCCGCAGGGTATACATGGCCATCAGAACAATACCTTGAGTTGTATCGATTTTTTATTTAAAATTTGTTTCAAAGTAAATTTTTAATTTTAATTCTTTTAAAAAATTGTAATATTTTTATGCAAACGAAGTCAATTATTTTAAAAAAAGAGTAATAATTATGGATTAAGATTTGCATGTTAGAAGTTAAAGATTGACATACATAAAATGAGTGGGATTATTATCACATTCAAAATAGTTAATATCACACCATTTTAACACAATTACTTATTATATTCTTACAATACATTTTGTCTCAAAATTTTATATTTTTTATTTCTTAATGAATTAAACGGTATAATAATTAACAAAATAAAAATATGTGACATTAGAAATTAAAAGTATGACAATAGCATCGATCATATAAAATTTAAGATACAAAGATATAACAAATTAAATAAATTGCTTAGCTAATATGATACTTTATATATACTTCATAGATTTGGTAGAAGTTGATAAAAGTCACCGCGTTATGAATTTGCTAAGATCTTCCACTTCTCACACCAGACAAATAACGACTCTTAATACGTAAATACTAAACAACGAGTGTGTGAAGAGCACCTACCATAGTAATCCTTCCTGTAGAGAGCCTATTGGTTTCAAACTCATACTAATTGTCTCTATATTATACGTACTCACAAGATGCTCTAAATCCACGTGCAAATAATCACAACAATTAACTTCTCAAAAATATCTTAATATTTTAGACTAATACCCAAATAAATAGAAAATTTCTAGCAGCGCATGCAGTTATTGGGGCTGTTTTTTTCAAAGTAGTCAATACCGTACCGGTATGCGTATTGGTTTTGCTACTGGAACGGTACGTACCGGATACCAGAATTTTTCGTTTACCGTTTTGGATTTATCGCTATAAATATATATTTTTATAAATTAAATATCAAATTTTAAAATAAGATAAGAGATACTAATATTTAAAACTATGATATTTTTATAAATTAAAAATAAGTTTAAAATGATCATTTT